AAAACTCTACGCAGAGTGATAAATTAGTTGCCTGCACTCGAAATATGCATCCATATTTCAGGCCATTTATAAATAAATAATGTATAAATGCATTAACAGCTGTAGGTAGAGGAATAGAGTAGCTTTCTAAAGGCAATTTTCCACCCTTTTAGGGTCCTATTTATTTAACTGAATCATGTAGGCGGTACAGTTTGTTGGCACATCTCATAAACCTTCCTTCAGGTTAGCTTTATAATAGCCAAAATTCGAAAAATTGTTTAGACGAAAGCTATTATGAGTGAATATTAGCTCTTTTCAGGATGCCTACTTTAATCGGGAAGCATGCTAGTTTGCGAAGCTACATTCGTAGTTTCTACGACTCTGCAATTCCACTCGTCTCCCTTTTTTTACAATTTGCCATGGTGTGTTCACGTGCAAACAAGTGAATAAATAGATGACTTAGTGGAGTGCACCCAAGGCAAGGTGGATTTCTCGATATGAAATCTTGAATTTGTCACTTACAAACCAACTCAGTGTCTAACTTTGTTTCACCGCTGACCATTGCCAAGTCATGTTATTCTATTTACAACGTGGTGATTCTTCATCAACGTCTTTGAATTAGTGTTTACTTTACTGCTGTCCTCTTTCGCTCTCCATTCATGCATTAGGTAATACGACAAAAAAATGAATAATAAATAAGGGGCTGTGTGGCATTAGTCAAATTTGAACATATGCATGAATAGTTCACTTAGAGGCTCCAGACACATTGATGTTCAATACTAAAGCATATTCTTAAGTAATGACACTGACCAAGTTACGAAGATAAATATAAGATGCGACGACATCCATTTCTACTATAACCTTGTCTACTTACATGGCAGATGTCGAATATGACTGACAGAGGGTGGTAAACGACGCGCTGTATTCTGAGCTGAAGTGTATGGCAATGAAACATGAATTAAGGAGGTGTTCATAGGGGGAGCCAAGAATATTTTGCATTAAAAAGGAACAAACGTAATTACTCATTTG